GTATGCCACTACGATTCTGAATGGAAGTAGAATGCGTGCCGCATCCCACAAAGGGATTGATCAACGGCGAAGACTTTATCCTTTATCCTTTTAATCATCAAAACAGACTGTACACTTACCTGCTGACCCACAGCTGCGGTAGCGGGCCACTTTCTCCGGTCGAGAGTGCGCGGGAACAGCGCTGAAGGATGCTGATACCTGGGTGCCGTACCGATAATCCAACAGCGCTGCTGCAAGGTCTGCCATAGTCAGCGTTCAGACTTCGCGACAGCAGCGCATAGATTCGCGTTCGACGCGATCGATGCAGTAGAAAGCATGCGCATCGATCGCGCCGAACGCGCGACCGAAGCGCTGCCGTCGCGAAGTCTGAACGCTGCCTTACGCCTAACGATGGCCAAACACCACACTTGTCTCCACCCTCCTTATTCTGGTTGTTTCCTACCTGTTGCGAGCCCTTAGTATTGATGCAAGTACTGCACCTTGAGGATAGCCGCACGAAGTATTGAGACGGCACTAGGGTACCACCCACAGCCCTTCGCTCCTGAAAGAAATGGCAAGCTGGCAGCTGCGGACCCATTTATCTCCTACATGACAGGGACCGTTCTCGGAGGTCAGTGTGCAGTTTCTTTTGAGACAGCGAACAAATAATAATCCACGTGGACTGGATCTTGGCCAGCCACTGAACCGATGGAAGCCCATGAAAACTTCTTAAAGGCACAGTTCGCGATCGTTTCCTCAGAACAGCTCTGCAGGTACTCGAAAAGCCCGTCTTGCGCAGATTTTAGAAAGCAAAGACACGAATAAATTGACTTGCCAATGGGCTCATTTCATGTGTTTCAGCTTTCCTCTGATGAAGGCAGATTGTGAGCACCGTGAAAACACAGGAACACGCCACTACCATCAAACAACACGAGAAGAATGCAGCTGAAGTGCTGTGAATTAATTCAAACTTTCCTCATATCGTTAGGATTAGAAAGCTCACCAAGGATTGGAACGGATTTTGACTGCGGTGGACTCATGTTGGACACCATCTGCAGGAAGAAAATCACCGACAACAGCACGGTTGTCTCTGAAATCATTGAGCGATTACCACTGGGAGCCAGGGATCTTGGATTCCTTCAAAGAGCATTCCATGATGGTCTTATGGGTGGAGTCAGGTTTTTCATCATGCATTTCCCATCGATGGGCTCCACCTCTTTGTTGTATTAGAGACGGACTAGTGAGAAAGGCAAGATGATTCATTTGACTCCACCCATACGATCAGCGAGAAATTGACCGATCAACGGCCGCTTACAAGATCAATAAAACAAAAACTGTGAAAGTTTCCCTAAGGCAGCGTTCAGACTTCGCGACAGCAGCGCTTCGGCGCGCGTTTGACGCGATCGATGCGCATGCTTTCGACTGCATCGATCGCGTCGAACGCGCGACCGAAGCGCTGCCGTCGGCTGCCGTCGGCGAGTTTTGAAACACTGCCTAAAGAAGAATTAATTGATTAGCACTGACCAAGAGTAATTTTCTCGCAAGCATCCGGCGGTAGTGTAAACCCCAGCACGGTCATCATAGAAATCACCAGCGAAGGAATGATGAGATTGATTCCGTAAGCCAATGTTCGCCTTCTGATATGTATGTAGTAATACAGTTCGTGGTAGGACTCTTCCCCGAATACCGTAACCACGCGAGTTCCAGGAGTATCTAAAGTGAGCCATATAGCGTTTTTAGCATAACAGTTAATAAATAATACAGAACGTACTCATCAAATCCCATTCGCCGTTTTGTAAATATACTTGTAAGTCAATCGATTCGTTCACTGTATAGCTGTCCGGGTTGTCCCCGTAAGGTCGAGAAGATGCCATCACAGGATGTCCCTTTACTCCTAGAATATTCTCTTATGACGTCACGACACTTCCTCGTTGTAACAGAAAGGTAAAGGTCACGCTCTACAAGGATCATATGGGCGGAGTCAAATTGCTGTCGCATTGCTGGGCACCCCATTGGTAAGGCGCACCAATGAGAACAGCGCCATGACTCCGCCCATGAGATCAGCAAGAAATGTACTGTTGAGTAACCAGACACTTTCGAGAGAAAAAATTGTAAAATACCATGCAAGTCGCGCACAGTTGGTCGCCCTTCAGTAATGCCCCATATCCCCAATTTCAGGACAGGCAGTCACTTCTGAAGGAGGTGATATTACTGGGAAGGAGCTTACGCCATGCTCAACTGGAGTACGCAGCCACGCCCTCCTGTTCTCCACGTTAAGAGGTGCTTCGGCTAAGTGGACCCGTTTGACTACTTGCGCATTCAGTCTGCATCTCCTATTCTGTGGGAGCAGCAAAGCATGGCGCATCCCATACACAAACTGGAAACCAATAACATAAACCTCCCAAACCAAAGCGCCAGTTTATTTCTGGTTTTTCTTACATTTAAAAAAAAGAATTAACTTACCTATATCATTGTTGTGAGCATGAAATCCAGATTTATATACCGTCCACTATACGTCCAACTTCCTAATTTCAAAAAGCACACCTGTGTATCGAATGGATAATATGTGACGTCAACCTAAAAAAAGGGTTATGTATTGTTCCTGTTAATTTCTCGAATTTTTAAAGTCACATTCCGCGGCTACCGCATAGGAGGAGAAATGGGTGGGATTCCTTCGATATTTATACGTCCTTCCTCTTTACAATGCAACGTGGCGGACTAGATCCATGGGAAGGGCACAGTGGATGCGAGTCTCCGCCCACTTCTCAGTCCAAGTGATGACCGCGGAATGTGTCCGCACAGAACGCCGCAAAAGGTCATGAAATATGAAAAATCATACCTTACAGATGAATCGAAATATTCCGGGAGGATTTTGCTGGATTTCTCCATCGTAGTTGACGATAAATCGAGAAGAATACGTGGAATCGAAGGACTCTGATACACTGAAATTGGGTCAAGAAGGTCAGGAAGTAATGGGAAATGCGAAAAAATGTCAATTTGGGTGGAGGGGGGAGAGGTAGTGTAAGAATGAGTTTTTGATGGGGTATGCAAAAGAGTCCTCGAGCAAAACTGGGAATCTTCCAATGAACATAGAGACGTTGCCTAACCTGAACAGGAAGGAAGTTTGATGAACCAGCCCCCCCCCCCAGGCTATCAGCACCCGAATTTTATTCGTTTGATCGTATTACTATACCTGTTGAATAGCAGGACATCTGGCCGCCACAACTTGAATGGAGCGTCCTGTTCGCCAGCAAAACGTACGTCTCTGATGCCGCCGAACATTTTCGGATCCCATCTGAGTTTGTAATCGTTCCAGTGCTGTAAAGTGGATATGTTCAGCTATTGCGCCCGATTTGGAGGCACAAATCCCCTAACATGGGCAAGACCATTTGGTCATTATGCATCCCTGTCAGGTACCCCTTATGTGCATAAAATACTGTAAAGACCATGAGGACGAAGCAGAGGTTTGCTGTCTCCGCCCATATTGTTAATGTGGACCAAGCCTTTATGATGGTCATATATGGTCATGGAGAGATAGACACCGAAGAAAAACTCATTGAAAATATTGCATTACAGAATAAACATAAAAGTATGGGTTATAAGGCTGTAAATACAAAAAAGTAAGTACATTAAACCAAAAAACACCAGAGTGCTCAGTTATGAGGGAATCCCTTGACCGTAGGGCCCAAACCCGCATTTCTTGCTTCCCGGGCGGATGCGCTATCCGTTACGCCACCAGTGCAGGCCTTACCCTGTCAGCCTGGCGTCTTTTATGCCGTAGCCGTACAGCACTCAAACGTTCAAAAGTTCAAATCCATTTGAAGTTTTATACATTGAAATTTCAAATTAAATAAATTAAGTAGCGATTATGACAGGTTCTTAATTAATTAGGGATCATCCTTTGATCAGCCTGAGGTTAAAGGTTGAAGATGAAATGCAGTTCACTTTGGTCATATGGGCGGCCCCAGGCCTACAATCGAGCTTTCCTCATTGGTGAGCGTTTCCTCTCCAATATGCTGATGTGTAGTGGCGCAGGAACTGATCCAACGCACGCCAAAAAATACAAAGTAATTGGCCTGCTCGCGGCTATATCTAGGGTAAATGTAAAAGAGTAACACTCACAAAAGTCGATATAAGCAAGAATCGACATCACTTGGTTCTTCTCGTCCTGAAATTTCGATCAATATTAATCAATAGTCAGTATTCAATAAGCAACTTTAACTCTTGGAATCCAAATAGGATCCCATTTGAAAATTCATAGAAATACCAGGTTATACCACGTCGAGAATCTGATTGAGTAGAAATCGCACTTTCACATCCAACGGCATTGAACTGTTCTCTACTGGGTCTTTCGAAATGATCATAATTCTGAACAAGGGATTTTAGTCTATTTTGTTCTTGTTCATTATTTCTGGCTTTATTTGATCTTCACTTTCTCATGCAAAACATCTTATTTTAAAAATATCATAAAATAACATAAATTTAATTTTTAAAAATAACATAAATATTATGTGGTTTATCAAAATTGAAAGAAGCATATTATCAAGCACTCTTTTCTCCAGAATAACTCAAAAATATCTGCACAATCATTAATTCTTGAGTTAATCGGAAACAAACGGACACCTCGGGTTGTGACTTTGTTTTCTAAAGAATTGTTATTGTAATTTAACGGTTTACTAAAATAGCGTTACCCCCATGTGATATAGCAGAAACCAACAAAACAAAATAAACAAAATAAAATCAAAAATTTATGATTCAAGACGTTAAAATGTTGAAAAAAAAGCGCGGAAGAAAAAGGTACCTCTTTCAGGTACTGTAAAAGGCGATATTCATCGAAACTCGGTAGTACGAATGGAAGCAGTACGGTAAAAATGAGTAGACCATTCAGCGCCATTGTTTGGCTTTCAGGAGTGTAGTGCAGATTTCAATGAGGAAAGATGCTGTGCGAGCGATCAAATTAGCGTGGCTCGGTTGGAGGATATAGTGGCTAAGTCCTTTTTGGGCAGCCGTTGAGTGATGCCGGCGGAGAACTTCAAAGTCTTGGATTCTTTTTTTCTTTTACCCCTTTTGAATAATTATACACGGAAAAATCTTTCATCGCCTCATTCGATATGTTATCTTACGATTGCCTGTGAGCTGCGCTTATGAGGTGCTTCCAGCGAGGAAAATAGAATCCTAATATAGAGGTTTGCTGAAGATTAAAGGAGCGAATCGCGCTGAGAGGTTCCCCAATGTCATTCGAAGCTAGCCCAAGTATGCAACGTCACCTGCTTCAGCCCCAAAAAAACCCCCAACGTGACCTAGACAATTTTTCTTTCTAGCCCAGGTCACATCATGGTTGGGGATTTTAGTCGAGTCCGTACAACTCCCCTTCTTTTCGGGGGTTTGGTTACGACCACCTCCTCCGCCCTCTGGTCCCTCCTCATCGCAAGAGGGGGGGGGGAGGCGGAATAAGCACACTGTGGAAACAAGCAAAACCCGCGAGACAATACGACCCTCCCCCCCCTCTTCTTACAATTCTCATTCTCAACCAAATTCCTGCCTTTTTTTCCACTTCTTTCCAAAGTTCCCGCAAACCTTCACTACTTTTCCCAAAAATTTTGCTTGTCGAAAGAGCGACTGGTACCACACCCCTCTTTACAACGTCCGTGAGCTATAAAAAATCAGGCGTATCAAAATAAATTCTCCTCAGCCCAAATACGACCCACCCTCTCCTGGCGGCCAAATACGACCTCCTGTTGGGGATTCCCCAACAACGATGTGCCCTGTTCTAGCCCGCTTACATCTCCCAGTTGTGGCATTTTCTAGAAGGAGTGAACCGTTGGGTAGAAGAGGCTAGGATCGCTTCCAAAACTTGGCCTCGTCAAAATTCAGGTAGCGTAGCTCCATTCAGTAGCAATCGGGCGAGACACGAGGCGTGAGATGGGCGCTCGCGCGCCGCGCATTCACCAGTAGTGGACGCCGCTCAGCGTAGAAAAACAACAGTGGTAGCGAAAAGCAAAGCCACTGAGCTTGCATCTTTTTGTATTTAAGCCAGCTTCAGTTCTACATATAATATATCTGTTCTCATTGGAAGATGTGCGTCATATAGCACGGCGAGCATACGTTGAGGAAAAATCTTCGGCGCAGTTCGGCGACGGGGTGGGGGAGAGGGCTCTTGCTACCCCTTATCGACGTCGAGCCATCAAGTGAAGACCTGTGAAATATGGGAGACGGGCAAGAGAATCGTAATTTGCCGCTCCGCTGCGCGCCGGCAATGGCTTCGCGGCGTTTTCTTAACTTGTATTCAGCTGATGCACTGAGCTACAGACCTTTCATGTAGACCCCGTTATTGTAGAGATTCATGACCCTTTTTGGTTCTGACATTGCCTGTGTGTCGTCAACCTACTACCTTGACAACCATCAGCATTTGTGGGCGCTGTCGCATGCGACGCCCACAGCTTCGGCTAATTACGATTCTCTGTCCATACCCGTGATATCCCACTGAAGACCCCCTCCCCCCAAAGTTTGAGGACCTGCCTGCCAACTCTTGCAAAGTAGTGGAATACCAAACCAAATTCAAACTTGTAAACCGGAACTAGCGAGAAGAGATAGCGCAATGTGCATTATCCCCACCGACCACTATTACTTGTTCCTAATTCCCTTCCACAACAGCTACATACTTTAACTTCAGTAGAATGAAATGGGGTGGGGGGGTTATAGATAACTGCGAACAACTACCAGGAATCGCTTGCTACAAGGAGGGGGACCTGAAAAGCGAGAAATGCATTTGCAAAATCTTTATTCATGCCACAACTGACTCTGCTGCCAGCGAAGTTTATAGCTGCTAATCGTCGCCAGTCCGGCCGGTCAATGTCATGCGAGTGTGTGTAATGGCTCATCTTCGCCTGCCCCGTCTCCTTACCATTACTGGCTCTTTCCTGCGCTCCCTGACATCTGCGACTCTGACGTTATCACTTCTTATCATGCTGTAGTGGATCCTTTGACGAACGCTTGACCCTTGTCCTGAAAAGGAGCGCTAATCACCTCAAGCTTTGTTTTTTCTGGGAAAAATTTCTTGCTGAACTTCATTCTTCGAAAAAAACTCATTGCGAACTTCAGAAACGTTTATTCACAGAGAAGACGAATAAATATGGGATCAGCGAATCACAGAGATAACAAAACCAGGTGTCACTCAACAGCAGCACCCGCTTCATGGATCGGTTATTAGTAAAAAATTTGCAGCAAAGTAGCTTCGTACAAAAACACTATGGTGTGAAGTGGTTCTATAATGGGGGCGTGGCTCTCCACAGAGGTGGAGCTCCACAACTTTGTGCGAGTCTGTGATTTCTTAATGGAATGTAACATCAGAGAATAAAATAAGTGTACAAAATCATGAGCACAATTTGCATTGTCGAATGGGTTCCGGGCAACATGATCGTGGATCCACGTGAAGATCACGTAGCATATGGGACCAGCGTAGCTCCAGAGGCGGTCCTGGTCATTTCTGAAGTGAGCACGATTTTGAAATGATTGATTTGAAGAGCTGCAGAAGAGCAAGAGGAAGGAGCTCACCGGATTCGGACGTCTCCGGATCGTTGTTCATGCGAAAACCCTCGTTCTTGAAACCAAACACGACGTGCCGATCGGACGTCGATCGACGCCGCAAAAGACTTCGCACGGTTCCGTTCCTGGAAACAGACGGATTTTTGGACCTGAATGCTTTTTAGTACTGCAAACTGCCGTCGAAAAAAGCGAGTCAACAGCGCAAACCACGCCCAGTCTATGGGAAGCGGAATAAGCGTTCGATCAATGTGCTCCCCCTCCAGTACCGTTCTTGAAAGACCAGTAAGAGAAGTGCAATGCACCACTCATAAGAAATATACTCCATATCTCGACGATGGAAAGGGCGTGGCTGCGTAGTTCATTTGAAAATCGAATATCTACACTCACCCGTTCGTCTGTTCGATGGCGTCATTGGTGGCATTCTGTTTGCTAGGTGTTCTTTCGGCTTCTCCGCTGAGCGGTGCCCACAATGCAGCACCAAAGGCTAATCCTGCCAGCGCTGCTGTCTGAAATTCAATGTATTACTTGACATCTTTACCTCTTGTCTCAGCCCTTTTATCAGCTTTCTTTGGATGTACGCCAGGAAAATTACTTCAGTGACCCCAGGATCGACAAAGAAGAAGGAAAATTCAAAGCTGCAGAGGACACCACTACGGAAATATTCCTCAGAGACCTTTACAGTAGTGAAATTATCTAAAGTTTTCTGAACCAAAAGATTTTTTTAAGCTTTTTCAAGATTTTGTAAGCAGACTTGACAAAGTGTAATACACTACATTTTCCCTGAGCATAAGGCAGCGTTCAGACTTCGCCACGGTGGCGCGATTTGACGATCGATCCGCATATTTTCGACTGCATCGATCGCGTCGAATGCGCGACCGAAGCGCTGCTGTCGAAGTCTGAACGCTGCCTAAGCGACCTCCCACATAATAATCCAACCATCACTTACTCCTTCGGCGAACGGGCGGAGCGTAGTCTGCGTATTGGTGGCGAATTGCTGAGTGACGGAGCGTGGGAGAATTGCAGAGCCACTGTTGCGACGAATCAGCACTCTGCGATCGCCTGAATGAAATCCACATTCAAAAAAAAGTACAAAATCAAAACAACAGACTGCTGTAGAATCATACTAGATAGGCTCTCCAGTGTTCATTGCGATAAGAACTCAGGAATCTCAAAAGGAACCTGGGAAGTCGTTCGTGTTTTCCCAATGTTTCCGGTCTTAAGTTCACCGTTCTCCAGCTTGAATACCTCCTATGCGGCTGTGTTGATACATATGTGAGGTAACCAGTCCCCCGCTTCGACGGAAAATCTTCGGGGAGAATACGCGGAAAATGTGGGCAAAATTGGTAGGTAGGTGGCTGAGAAAGGGGGGGGGTCGCGCTGTACCCTGGTTACGTAAGTTCCCACCTGGGTTTGCCTGCCTTACGGTGCAGCTACCCTTGCTTCACCATTACATTGCCTCGTGGGAAAAACTGAGCCAACAATCTTCCCCATTCTTCTTCGAGAAGAACCGTACACAGGTCTCTTGTAATCCAGCTCCTTGCCAAGGACGAGGTGAATGGGTGCAGCCGCACGCGCCACCTTCTTCGGTTTTGCAGGGAAAAGGGGCTAGAGTGTGGCGATACCCGAGTGCCCTTTCCCCATGCTTCGCAGCCGGGCGCCTAACCTAAGCCAAACGCGCTACTTGCCCGCGCCCTCTCCCTTCTGGTTGTTCTCTAGCGCTGAGTGCGTGTTTCGCTGCAGGATCTTGGTGTCGACGCAAACGCTGCACATTGAGCATAGCACGGGCGCAGTATGGGGACGGAGTATCTACCCTCCAGCCCCATTCCGGTGCTTTTGAGTGGCATGCTACTGCACTTAAAGACTCGTCCACATAGCATTTGACAATGACCGCCCTGGGAGGAGAGAATACGGTTCGTCTTCCGAGCAAACTCCATGATTGCATATAGTGGGTAGTGGAGGTCTTCACGCCATTGCTTATACTGTCTAACAGGAGGAAAAAAGAAAAGCACGGCTCAGTTCGTGACAGAAAATAACCTATGAGCTAAGTGGGTGGGACAACAAGGGAGGCGTCAGAACTGCTACTTATGATGGCCGCAACGCCTGCGCATATATGTGAAGCCGCAGAGCCGCAACTCACAGAGACTGCCCCTTGTCCAAAGAAGGAACTGCAGCCTAGGAATCGCCTGAGCGTGGGGACCGTCTTTAAAGAAAAGACTGGTGAGGGTGAGTACACATGAGTTTGTCACCTCTGAGTTCTTGCACCCTACATATCCTGGGAGCCTAGTTGTGTTACTTACATCATTCAGTCGTTCATGATACTCAGGGTTAATGTACAACTGATAGCCTCTAGCATATGATGTCTTAATGGTAGCCACTAGCCATATGATCACGAGGTTACAACATTATTTTTCTATTTTTGATCACGCGGTTTGAGAGTGATTGGTCTAGGAAGTACTGATGTTAGTATCGTTTGATGGAGCAGCTCGGCTTGGGGGGGGGTGGGGCTTCACTTTGATATTGTGATGCATCGTAGTAGAGAGCTAATGACTCTTGTGCAGGCGTGCAATGGCTGAGCTTCGTTTCACTTTGACAAAAGTCCACAGGTTTCACCAAAGTTGAAGCGTGTAAGTCAACAAGAACTAGTAAGGGAAATGTCGAACTCAGGGTTAGAGCATCGTGATGTGTGTAATGGTGGCGTCGATACGACGCCCCCACTTCCCAAACAGCCTACTAACCAATGTCCACAGTTTTCCAGTTTTTCTTCACTCAAAGCTTTCCGTGAAGCGGGACGGGGGGGGGGGAGGGGGGCAATGGGAAGTGGGCATGTAGTACACCACGAAAACGGAAAATCAGTGCGAAAAGCGAACAAGCGAAAATTTTTTCCAAGCGCGAATTTTCTCTCCGAACTACATACGACTCCTTCTTCCAACAACATGAAGTACGACCTCCTTCCCAGCCGAAAGATACGGACCCCTTATTTTGTTTCACACGAACGATGACTGTACCCTGGTGAAACTAGAGGAACTTTATCCCCAAGCCAAACTCGCTTTGTTGTTCTTCGTATACTAATTTCAGTTGGTTCTATTACTACGGCTGCAAGTCATGCGCATGGCGTACCGCGGCGAACTGACGTTATTTCGTTTGATACCGTTCTTATCATTGTCCGATAAGACGACATGGGTTTATATAAATACCTCCCCAAAAAGAAGTCAGGCCTAAAAAACCTCATGGTGATGTGGACTACAAAGTAAAGGCGACGAAAAAACAACTCACCTAAAAAAGATCTGTTCACGAGGTACTGTGAGGTGTCGTTCTCGAATGTGACTTTCTTCAGAGTGGCTGACCGTGGCAGTTCGCACATGCGTGACGGCATTGACGAATTTGATAGCTTAATTTCAGTTCTCAAAATATTGAAATTATTTTAATCCAGCAAATGTAGGAGCCGTCTGTACTTTCATGCAGAATGCTTGACCTTTCAGATTTCTTGCTCACTAAGAGTATGAACATCTCAAGGACGTTATTTAGAACAAGTTAGAGACTCGAGAGCAGCTTACAATGATACGGCCACTCCTGTGGGAGCCTGGTTTCCCACCAGGGACCCGTAGGGATGGCCATAGCAGCCCACTCAAGAGCTAGCTTGGACTACAAGATGCCAATGGACCCAGTTTGATCATGCAGCACGTACCATCCATCATCTAGCCAGTTGTGGAGGCATTTTATGATAACGTGAGGTCATACCTTGTGAGGCTCAGCGTCCGGTTGAGCCTCGTCGACAGGCGATACAACCTCCGGAATGGCATCCCCAGTGTGACGCGACGACGTTGATGAGGCTAAATTAGTTCACGTGCGTTTCTGTTTTTTGAATTTTCGAGTTTCAAGTATTATAAGTTTCAAGTATGATAGATCTACTTGGGATCGTAGTTACAGGCGCTGCCCGCTATGGTCATATGGGCGCTGCCAGACCTGTGCCTTCGTTGGTAGCGTGCCCTCCGCTCTTTAGAAGGGAGGTACGCCCCAGCAAGGAAAGATACTGTGGTAGGCTTGATTCCGCTCGCGCGAGGATTGTGTCAGAAATGGGGGAAATGAAACTTCCCAGAACAAGCGCAGACCATTAAGGATAAGTACCAAATGAGGTGATGATTTCTATGACAAAATAAATGAATATATCTAAAATAAGGAGAAAAAGCGCTTACCGAGACTATCGTTCCGTTGCGGACTGCGCATGCTCTGATTGCTCGATCGTCGACTGTCACTTGTTGAACTCTCCTGAGGCGATACCCTCCTTTTGACGACGATTGGTCTCTTGCCTCGCCACCTTCTATCAAAATCAGCTGTTGCCGGGTTCTCAAGGATTCTTCAATTTTCACGTTCTGTTGAACCGTTCATGGTCTTCGGTCCAACGTTACTTGACGTCGCCCTCTTTGATGACGACGCCATCTGCAGTCCATAGAACTCCCTCTCCAACATCTCACGCTCTTTCCATTGCTTCTCACTGCTGTGACCATTCTCACCCTTTTGTTTCATTCTTCTTGATGCATCCAAATGACTGCTGTCCGACTTGCGCATCCCTTTGTATGGAGGGCGCTCTTTCTGCGACTTCGGTCCGCCTCGTCGTCCATCACGACTGCGAGACGACGTCGGCTCAGTGATCGGTCGCGACGACGATGCACTGCGATTCTGATTCTGAGGACGTTGACGGGTATTCTGTTTCGAAGTGTCCTGTCGATGTACTGTTTCCGGCTCATCGTGATACACCTCGTTACGGACGATTTGAGGCCTGAAAACGACAAAAGATCTCTTTTCGGAACGAGCGAGCAAAAAGGAAACATCACCAGGAATGGAGTATTAGCAAACCTTTTTCTGGACCGCAGAACAAATTTTCAGGGCTCTCAAGAGCTCAAAAGGCCTGAGAAGCGG